GAGCCCACCCACGCTGCACCTGCACAATGCCAGCCTGACTGAGGTTATGGGTAGGGACATCTTGACCCTGGCATAGCCTCCTAAAGTACTGAAGTGCAGCTGAGTCCTGGGCAACAGGGAGGGTGTGGTGGGCAGGCATTGAGGTACCGGGCAGTTAGTAGTTGAGGGAGTTAGTAGTTGGCTAACTACTAAGCAGAGGAGGCCATTGAGTTTGAAAGACAATGAGGTGTGCGAGGCAGTAAGATGCTACCTGAACTTCCAAGGCCACCATGCTCCTCCTCTCTGGGGCCTTTCCCTCCTTACCACCAGGCAAGAGTGTGCTCCTTGCCCTCTCTCAGCAGTCCTATCGTGGCTTTTGCCCCCAGCTCACCTTCTCAGGGGGGGTGTCCCTCTAGCCAGAGCCCTTCTTTCTACCCAATCATCTTGTATGCATTGATGTATGTACTGACTGTCTCCCTTTACTCCAATGTGAACTCCAACACAGCTGAGACTCTGCTGAGTCCTCAGTGTCTACAACACTGCTTGGGACACAGTAGATGCTCAATAAATACCTCAGTAGAGGAGTGAGAGAGAAGCAGGGAAGGAGAGAGGAATGGGGAGGTGCGTGTCCTGAAGGAGATGGAGAAAAGAAAGGGGAAGTCAGCTGGGCGCAGTGGCTCACACCTGAAATCCTGGCACTTTGGGAGATGGAGGTGGGCGGATCACCTGAGGTCAGGAGTTTGAGACCAGCCTGACCAACATGGAGAAACCCCGTCTCTACTAAAAATAGAAAATTAGCCGGGTGTGGTGGCACATGCCTGTAATTCCAGCTACTCGGGAGGCTGAGGCAGGAGAATCGCTTGAACCCGGGAGGCGGAGGTTGCGGTGAGCTGAGACCACACCACTGTACTCCATCCTGGGCAACATGAGTGAACTCCATTAAAAAAAAAAAAAGAAGAAGAAAACAAAGAAAAAGAAAGGGGATGCCATAGGGACAAGCCAAACAGAGGGAGCTTGTGGGCTCGTGATGATACTTGTTTTATCCCACAGACGACAGGCAGCCATGGAAGGGCTTTGAACAAGAGGAATGTATCTGGCGGAGCACAGGAGGTGCAGGTGGGCACAGAAGACCATCTGGAGGGCAGGGCTGGGAAGTGGGTGGGGTGGACACCCATGAACGACTAGAGGGGAGGCAGAGCTTCTCCAGACACATTCTGTGCGGTGGCTGTGGGGCAGGGAGCACAGGCCCAGGACTTGGAGATCAGCCGAGGGCTCCTCACTGGCTCCCACCCTCTGCCGTCTCACCAGGGAGCAGACATCCTCTGTCCAGCTAGGTGTTTAATTGCTTAGCGCCTCAGTTTTCACTTCTGTGAAATGGCACCAATACCAATACCTAAAGGCACCAAAGGAGAGTCCTAAGTATGCATTAATAGCCATCATGACCCAGGCATTTGCTAAGTGCTGACAAATATCTGGTTGGGTACTGGTAAAACCTCACGAAGACCTGAGCCCAGGGCTCTGTCCTGGTAAAAGCATTTGCTAAATGTTGGCAAACTACCCTCATTGTTTGTAAACAGGCTAATAGGAGTGTTAAGGGATGGGGGGCTACCCACATCAGGGCAGCTTCCCCTGCACCACAGCAGCCTCTAGAAGTTTCCAGCTTCATCTGGGCACTGCTCACCTGACTGCTTTAGTACTGCTGTAAGGGCGAGGGAGACAGTGTGTCCATCAAGGAAGTGGGCACCACTCACCTGAAACCCTCCTTTTGGGCTCTCAACCTTCAGGCTGAGCATAATATATAATAGTAGACAACGGCTTAGGAGTTACTTCTTTCCCAGAACTTTAGTATGTTAAAAAAAAAAAAAAAAAGTTCCAGGCTTTCACCCAGGAGGAAGGCAACCAGTGACAAGCGGAATTCAGGTAGGAAGGCCTATTGCAGGCCATCCATCCTGGCCAGCCCAGAGGTGTGGGAGCTGGGGGTCTCCTGCTCTTTCCTCTCCCTCTATGGCCAGCTACGTCTTCCTCTGTCCCCTTCCCCAGTGCCCAGTTCTTTGGGCACTGCCCTGAGTCTGTATCCACGGGGTCACTTGTTGGGGGTGGGTGGCTGACTCTGAGGGCGGATTTTTGCTCAGTCGGAGGAAGGACCTTAATTGAGCCGCCTGCCGTGGAGCAAACAGCCCCTTGGCAGCTGCAAGTAGGCGGTGATGGTGAGGGGCCGAGGGGCTAAGGAGCCTTGTTATGGATGCTGCTAGGAGACTGGGTCAGGTTTTCCTTCCCGAGATTCTGGAATTCCGAGCAGGGGTGGCCCGCATTTCCCAGCATGATGCGGATTTTGCTGAGGGAGGATGGGGAGAGAAAGACGGTGAGGGAGGAAGGGCGGGCAGGGATGTGGCCCCCGCCCAGCGCAGATGCCCCAAGGATGCAGCGCTGGTGGGGCAGGGAAGGCCTCTAGAAAGGGTGCAAGTGACCACTCAGAGCGCACCTCCGCTTCTCCTCCCCACCGTGGGGGCTCAGCTCCCTGGACACGGGGGCCAGGGTTCCCGTACTCCTCGCCCCTTAGGTCACGGGCCTGGGGGGCTCAAATGCCAGGGAGCTCTCTCTTGACCGAGCTGACCCGCCCGCGCCAGCGCACTCCCCGCCCGGGCTTCTGTCCTCTTCCTCTGGGGCTGAGCATCAGGGAAGTCCGCGGGATCCTGCGAGGGAGGCGGCAGTCCCCAGCCGGGAATGAGGGGAAAGGGGAAGTGCTGTCCCAGCCAGAAACTCAGTGGGGAACGGGCAGAGGCGGGAGGCAGCGCAGTCGAGGAGGGGGAACACCCCACCGTCGTGGGGGTCATTAGAAAGTTAGGGCCAAGTATTTGCATGTCGGCCTTCTAGACTAGGAAGGCTCTCCTGCGGGCTCCGCTTCCGTACCCCGGGTCTCCCCGCCTGCCTTGCCCGGGTTCCCCCAGCTCATCTTTCCCCGGGGCCCCGCCCACCTTCTCCCCGGGGTCCCACCCCACTTTCAGCCTCAGGGCTCCCCCAGTTCACCTTCGCGCCCGCGGACCCCTGGGTCTACCTTCAGCCTTGGGGGCCCTCCTCGGCCTATCTTCCACCTTCGGGATCCCTCCACCCGCCTTCTCCCACAGCGGGGTCCCCCCGCCCGTCTTCTCCCCCGGCAGGGTCCCCCAACCCACCTTCTCCCCCGCAGGGTTCCCCAGCCCGCCTTCCCGGCGGCGGGAGCGGCGGCCCAGGCCGGCGGGCGGAGGCGGCGCCACCCGGGGCGCTGACGTAGAGGCCGCTCGGCGGCCGGGGGTCCCTTCGGTGGGGCCGCGGCTCCCCGCCCGCCGCCCCCGCGCGTCCATTCCCTTTTGTGTCCCGCGCGCGGCCCGTCCCCCGCGCACACTCGCGCCCTGAGCCCCGCGGGCCGGCGGGCGGCTCCCGGCGCGGCCCCTCCAGCCAGCGCGCCCGGCATTGTGTGGACGCGCCCGGCCGGGAGCGCGCGCGGGGGCTGTCGTGCGCCCCCGTCCCCTCCCGCGCGCGGCCCGTCCCCCGCGCGGACACTCGCGCCCTGAGGCCCCGCGGGCCGGCGGGCGGCTCCCGGCGCGGCCTCCTCCCAGCCAGCGCGCCCGGTATTGTGTGGACGCTGGCCCGGCCGGGAGCGCGCGCGGGGCCGTCGCGCCCCCGTCCCCGTCCCCTCCCGGCCGCGGCGTGCCGCCTGCGCCTCGCCGCCCCCGCCGCCCTCGCGCGGCCCGGCCTCGGCCCGGCCCGGACCGACCTGGCAGCGCGGCGGGGCCGAGCGGCGGCGCGGCGCGGCAACATGGCGACGGTGCCCGCACTGCGTCTGCCGGCTCCCTACGACGTTACTTCCGCTTCATGATCGAGTGCGACGCTTGCAAGGACTGGTTCCACGGCAGGTGACGCGCGGCGGAGCCGCCGGCCCGGCTGAGCCCACCTCCCGGCCCGCCCCCGCCCGACCGAGCCCCGCGCCCCCGGCTGCGCGCCCGCAGGCCCGGCTCGGGGACGGGCCGCCGCCGCCGCCGCATTCCGGGCGCCCGGGTCGGGGCTGGGCCGTGCCGGGCCGCGCGCCCTTTTGTGCCCAGGGCGGGGGCGCCAAGCACGGGGCCCGCGCTGGGCGCCCCTGGCCGCCGCGCACAAAGCGAGGCCCGCGGGCCGGGAGGTGGGCTCGGGGCTCGGGGCGCGGGGAAGTTGGGGCTCCAGGCCCGGGCCAGGCCGCCTGTCAGCGGGGTCGCGGCGGCCGCAGAGGCCGGGCATCCGGAGGGAGGCCCAGGCCCGGAGCCCCCGCCGCCTCCCCCCTGCGAAGTTGCAGGAACTTTCCCCGCGCGGGCTCGGGGCTGGCCGGGCCGGGAGAAGCGGGCGCGCAGCCCGGCGCGGGTCCCGGGAGAGGCGCGAGTGGCGGGCTCCGACGCCGGCAGGGCTGAGGCGTCCGTGGGGGCTCCGGCGAGGTGGCAGCCGGCGCGCCCACCCTCCGCCGTGGCCTGCGAGCTCCCTCGACCTTGTCCCCGAGGGCAGGACCCTTCCCCGACCCCCGCGGAGCAGCTAGACCCGGCAGGCCTGCAGGTCCCCGGGCGGGAGTGTGGTGACAGAATAGTGTCTGAGTTGGGTAAGGGGGTTTGTTGTGACTTTGCCGCCTCCTCCCTGGCCTTCAGCTTTCCCCTATTCCCTCCTCTCAGTTCCCGGCAGGAACACCAGTTTTGACATATCTTATGCTCCTTAAGGAAGACGGTGGGGGGGGGGGGGCGGGGAAGGAGGTAACGCTAGGAGACACTGAAAACCCCAGCCCTCTTGGCCCTTGCCTGTGGCCATGATCCGGCCCCGTGCCTGGGGTAGGTCCCTTCCCACCAAGAAGTAAGTGGAGGAGGAGGAAGAGGAGGTGATAGTCTTGCCCAAACTGCTCCAACAGGTTCTCTTGCATCTGACTTTGCCTGTGGGAGGTGTTGGGACCCGGGGCTAGCCAGGGCTGTGTGCCCTCTGGGGCTCCAGTGCCAAACCTGCGGGAGCAAGCAGCCTAGGGGAAGGGGTGGGGGTGTGGTGGGGGGTGCTCTGGGATTCTCCTTCCAGAGAGGACACTCTCCTGCTGGTTCTAAGCCTGGGTCTTCAAGACTTGTCAGTGGCCCTTAAGAGTGGGCTGTGGCCCCGAGTCCAGTCCTGCCAGTTTACATGTGGGGACCTGGGTGACTGGGATGTGACAGGGCCTGCTACGTCTGTCAGCCCCAGTCCTGAGTCCTACCTCCATGCTGTCAGAAGGGCCTGGGACTCTGTGGGATGGGGATGTCCACGGAAATCTGGGCTGCCTTCCTGAGTATGCCCAGGGCGATGGAAGCCCCTCAGAGCAGGGGAGACTGAGTGTGAACACCGGGCTCTGCCCAGAACAGGGCTGACATGCATACCGTCAGCTGGCAGCCATCGAGAAGTTCATGGCCAGGCCAAAGTGGGTGAGAGCCTCTAAGGCTCCTCATATCCAAGGATGCTGAGCAGCTGGCCCTGAAAAGCCCTGAAAGTGGTGGGGCCTGTCCCTTCTCCCCCATCTCCGCCAGGGCCCTGACCTGGCAAGCAGTCACCCCGCTACAGAACTCTCTGGGCACCTGTGTCAGCTCCTGGCTGCTGCCCACACTTGGGGCCCAGACTGGGGAGGGTGAGAGGGCGGGAGAAGACCTTTGTCTCACCGCTCAGGGGTCCCTCTGGGAAGGGAAGGCTAGTTCTGAACCAGACTTCGAGGCCAAGGGAAAAACTCCAGGAATGAGGGGCAGACAGGCGACAGGGGCTGAGAGCTGGCCTGAGAGCTGGTTGCTGTCGTCTGCTGTACTGGCCCATGCAAAAATCCCCACAGGGGGGATGTTTGGGGAGGCTCTATCTCCTTTTTTCTTATTTGAGGTCTCTGATTGAATCCAATACAGGCAGTTGATCAGCACAGATTTCTTCTCACCTATTTGGGGTGGCCGTGGGGTCTGAAAGGAGCTGTGCTTTCCCTCGGCCATGAAAGTCATTTTCTCCTGCATCTAATCGAGGGTCATCTGCCAAAGTGAACCCTATGGGGAAAAAGCCTCTGGGTGTGCCTGCTCCCCGATGGTTCTGGGCAGGTGTGTGATGGGGAGGACAGGCGTCAGGGGTTGGTGGGATTGGTACAGCTCTCACAGCCGTGGGCAAAGCCCTTGGTCTCTCAGCATCACTTTTCTCATCAGTGAAATGAACGTGTGTGACCAGACCCCTGTGTTTCTTCACCTCCAGATAGTCTCATAGGGCCCCGGTGGTTCTTTCCTGATCTTCGTACCGCTTGTACTGTGATTTACTTCCTATTTAACATTTCAACTCACTTTTTAAAAGTTTGAATACTTTTAAACTTTTTATTTTGTGGGGATTTTAGACTTCCAAAAGAGTTCCAAAAATGGCATAATTTCCCTGTGTCCTTTCCTGTCTCTCCCTGCAGTGAACATCGCACCCAGCCATGGGACCAGTACCCAGCCGTGGGACCAGCACCAGCATGAAGTTAACGCTGGTGCCGGGCTGCCAACTAAACTACAGACTTTATTCAGATGTATTTAACCAGTGTTCTCCCCTTAATGTCCTTTTTCTGTTCCTGGATCCCACCTTGCATTTGATCCTCATGTGTTCTTACTTTTGAAAATACTGCTTTTAAAAGGAAACTTCGTATCATTCCCTGAAATAGAACATTACTGTAACTTGCCATACACAGTAACTATCAAAATAAACACACAACTATTAGAGTAAAAAGGCTGTCTGTCCCACCTGTGGTCACATCACATTCCTCCAGCCAGCCCCGTTTTGGGGAGAATTGCAGAGAGGGTCTCTAAGTCGTCACCCACACTCACAGTGGCTGCATCTTTGCTCTTGGCAGCTTTGGCGGCAGCCGAGAACTTGTTTGGGATAGACCTTTGGCCATTTGTGGGGCCAGAGCTTGCTTCTAGGGTGAGTTTTCCTACTCAGGGACTCTGAGCACCCCTCCCAGTGTTCTTGCCGTGGTGGGTGGGGCTGCCCCGCTGGCCTGGGTTGGGAAGAATGTTCACCATGGGGAGGGAGAATTGTGTTCTATCCTTGGGGTCATGCATCCTCCATTCACTGGAGGGGCAGTGTGGAGTGGAGGTCGGGGAAACAGACCCTCCTTTCAGGCCCCCCACTGTCCTTGGGATGTGTGTGCCATACCTGAGCTGTCCCTTCACCAAGTTCTCGCAAGATTCTTCCTCCAGCCCCATCTTGACCGTGACTCATCACTCCTGGGGTAGGGATCCTCGTCAGCCCAGCCTTTCTTCACTGGCACCGACTGGGGTGCTGTCACAGAATTTGACCTGGGAGGGATGGATTTTTGTGGCAGGACCTGGCAGGAGACAGCTGGAGGCCTGTTGCCTTCGGAGGTGTCTTGTCTGCCTCGTTTGATGGGGATGTGTGGCTCTGCACAGGCACTGAGGAGGACCTGTCCTCTCCTCTTAGGGATCTCACTCTTGCACAAAGCCACTTGGGCCACAGACTGTGGTCCCTTGTGCCTGTGTCTTCTAACTGGACGATGGAGACCAGACCCCATGCCCTCCACCCCTGCCTGCAGCCGTAAGGTGGATGACCTGGCATCTCACTTTGTCACCAACTTACTTTGAATAATTTCAATCTGGGAAGCAGGAATGCTTCTGTTAAAGTTTTAAGCATCCTTCACCCGTAGCTTTCTGGCCCTCTTTCCACTGCTTGTTCTATTGCACTGGAAGGGTTTTTGGAGGTGTAATCAGTAAAACTGACTTGAGAGAAATTGAAAGCTGTTCAGGTCACTTAAGTGACAGACATTTCATTCATACCTCAGTAAATATTTGTTGGGCATGTATTCTGTACGGAGTTCAGAGCTGGCTGTGAGGGCCCAGGAGTTAGCCAGGGCCCTCACAGAGGTTAGCTCAGCTCCTCTGAGAATGGTGGCAGCCACCCTGGAGGGGGAGTGTCTCAGCAGAGGAGGGGCAGGAGTGGACTGAGGTTTTGACAGGGTGTTGCTGTGGGGACAGGTCGGGAGGAAGTTAGGGGCAGGGAGCCAGTGAGGAGGCCCTGCATGTGTACCCAGGGGGTGGCGAGTGGGGACTGGGGTCGGGAGAAGGGTCACATTCTGGAAGTGCTCAGAAAGTAGAGTGGACAAGACTTGCGTGGCATGGCTCCCTCCAATTCCTGTGTGTCTGTCTGTCCGTCTGGGCTCAGCCTGCCCTCCTCCTCAGGGCACTGTCTCTATGTCCATCTCCCTAGGGATGGAGTTGGCCTTTCTGGGCTCTCATTGTGCCCACCCAGCCTTAAGCTCCTTGGGGCAGAGCCATGTCCAGGGGCTACCTGCGCACACCACCTGGGGCTGTGGCTGTGCCCTGCAGGCCAGCTCTGTTGTTGGCCAGTGGAGTGTGTGTGTGAGAGGGAAGGAGGTCCTGCCATGGGTCAAATCTGGGTGATGAGAACTGACAGTTAAATGCTAGAACCTCAAATGCTGGGGAGTACTGGGGGAAGGGGTCCTCCTCATGGAGATGTTGTTGTGAAGTGTTTAGGAATGATGATTAATCATTTTACAATGAGGAATTCTCCCCCTGTGTGAGTTTTTAGAGTTCTGGAGGAGGTGGGAAGAATGTCAGGCCAGCTTCTAGAGGGGAAAGTAGACATCCCTGTCTGTCAGCGCTTTCCAAAGGAGGTGTGTCTTGAGGGAAGCAAGGAGCTTCATCTTAATTGTCAGAATGTTTGCTGTTATTAAATATAGTTAATATTTGGCTGGAAGTGTGCTTGGTGTGAACCTCTGGACTGCAACCCATGTTTGTTTGGGGCTGCTTGGGTGCAGTGTGGCCACAGATGCCCTAAAATCTGGGCAGAGGTTTGGGCAGACCCTGCCACCCCTAGCCACCCTCTTTTTTGGCCATCGCGATAGTACCTCGAAATATGCCAGGTCCTCTAAAAGAGTGAGTTTTTCTGGTGGAAGCAAGTGTGGGCCGGAAAATAGTGTTCCATGATGCAGTTATCTGGGAAAATCTCACTTTTGAAATTTAGGGTGTGGGTAAAACAAAGTCCATCTCTTGGTGTTTTAAATAAGACAGGCCTGATTGTGCTACAGAAGCTAACGTTCAGTTGGGGTTTAATGCCATAGGGGTTTTTCATTCATCATGTTTGGTTCACATGTCGACTGTGAGGGGCAGATAGTGTGGGTCACCCTGTCACCTCCATTCCCAGCATGGACACAGAAGCAGCCAGGGCCTCTGTCACACGCAGGTCTCTGGCTTCATCAGGTACACTCTGAGCTGCAGCAGGTGGACACACTCACCTCCCAGGGGGTGCAGGTGAGGATGTGGTACCTGGCTTAGGTTATTCTGGCTCCAGGGCCTGAGCAAATACAGGGGCTGATAACTGCTCGTGTCCGTGGTTTCGGCAGTGTAACATGGACGGAAATGTAGTCACGGAGGAAGGCCACATACTGAGCTAGGGGATGGGAGGTGCTTCCTTGTCCAAGCAGCTGACAACAGCAGCTCCCTTCTGGGTCTGAATATGCCCAGTGTCTCTCAGGGTCTCTCGCTGTAGTGCCTTCCTCTCTGCATCTCTCCTTCTCTGTCTCCTATCTTCTGCCAACCTTGATTCTCAGCTTTTTGGTTCCATGGCAGATATGTGGCCCTAGCTGTGGGGGTCCAGAATGGGACTTGGCTTCTATGCTTCAGGGTGCAGGACCTATTTACTTTTCTCCTGGATCCCCCCCACCACCATAGTACTGGGTCACTCACAGAAAAACATATGAGCATATTTAGAATTCTAGCCAGTGGTTTGGATCTCAAAGCATAGGAACTGAAAAATCTTTGTGATATCTGTCCCTGTCTATCAAAGCTCTCCGAAGGAGGCGTGTCTTGAAGGAAGCAATTTGGCGTGAGCCTCATCTTAATCACCAGAATGTTTGCTTTTACTGAAAATATTTAGCTAGAAATGTGCATATAGGGAAACGAGCCTTCTACCTTTTTTAAAAATTAACGTGAAATTCATGTAATATAAAATTAACCATTTGAAAGTGTGAAGTTGAGTGACATTTAGTGTCTTCATAGTGTTGAACAACCACCACCTTTATTTTTTCCAAAACATCTTCCTCACTCCTAAAGTAAACCAGTGGCCAGTAAGTAGTCACTGCCCTTTCTTTCTCCCACTAGCCCCTGACACCCACTAGCCCCTAACACCCACCAGCCCCTGACAGCTAGCAATCTGCTTTCTGTCCTGATGGGTGTGTCTATTCTGGATATTTACTATTTCATATAAATATGTAACCTTTTGTGTCTGACTTCTTTCACTTAGCACAATGTTTTTGAGGTTCATCCACATTGTATTATGTGTCCGTGTTTCGATGATTTTTATGGCTGAATAATATTCCATTGTGTGGATAGACCACAGTTTATCCATCCATCAGTGTATGGGCATTTGGGTTGTTTCCACCTATGGCTGTTGTAAATAGCGCTGCTATAAACATTTGTGTATAAATATTTGTTTGAACACCTGTTTTCAATTCTTTTTTTTTTTTTTTTTTTTTTTTGAGACGGAGTCTCGCGCTGTCGCCGGGGCTGGAGTGCAGTGGCCAGATCTCAGCTCACTGCAAGCTCCGCCTCCCGGGTTTGCGCCATTCTCCTGCCTCAGCCTCCGGAGTAGCTGGGACTACAGGCGCCCGCCACCTCGCCCGGCTAGTTTTTTGTATTTTTTAGCAGAGACGGGGTTTCACCGTGTTAGCCAGGATGGTCTCGATCTCCTGACCTCATGATCCGCCCGTCTCGGCCTCCCAAAGTGCTGGGATTACAGGCTTGAGCCACCGCGCCCGGCCCTGTTTTCAATTCTTTTGGATATATACTTGGGAACGGAATTGCTGGATCATATGGTAATTCTATGTTTAACTTTTTGAGTAACCAGCAAACTGTTTTACCCAGGAGCTGCATTATTTTAAATTCTCCTCAGCAACGTTCCAATTTCTCCACATCCTCGCCGACACTTGTTTTCCTATTTTTTTTTTTTTAATTAAAGCCATCCTAGTGGGTATAAAGTGGGATTTCTTTATGTTTTTGACTACCATTTCTCTGCTGACCAATGATGTTGAACAGCTTTCACATGCTTGTTAGCCATTCGTATATCTTCTTTGTACAAATGTCTACTCAAGGACTTTGCCCACTTTTACATTGGATTGCTTGTCTTTTTATTGCTGAAGTGTTGAGTTCTTTATATAGTCTAGATACTGTATCTTTTTTTTTGTTGTTTTTTGAGACGGAGTTTTTTTCTTGTTGCCCAGGCTGGAGTGCAATGGCGTGATCTCAGCTCACCGCAACCTCTGCCTCCCGGGCTCAAGTGATTCTTCTGCCTCAGCCTCCCGAGTAGCTGGGATTACAGGCATGCGCCACCACGCCCAGCTAATTTTGTATTTTTAGTAGTGACGGAGTTTCTCCATGTAGGTCAGGCTGGTCTCAAACTCTTGACCTCAGGTGACCCACCCGCCTTGGCCTCCCAAAGTGCTGGGATTACAGGCATGAGCTACCGTGCCCGGCCTAAATGCTGTATCCTTATCAGATACGTGATTTGCAAATGCATTTTTCCATTCTGTGGGTTGTCATTTCACTTTCTTGATAATGACTACTGATGCACAAAAGTTTTTAACTTTGATAAAGTCTAGTTTAGCTCTTTTTTCTTTTGTTTGTTATGCTTTTGGTGCCATTTCTAAGATTTCTTTGCCAGATCCAAGGTTGTACAGGTTTACTTCCA